ACTAAAGCATTTCTCGGGAGAAGATGCCACCTTCTGTATTTTGACCACACCCTCCAGATACAACACGACCGAAGCTAAAGTCTCGTTTCCTCCCACTAAACGCCTCCTGCTTCCCATCTCCCAGCTTCATTCCGTAGCAGTTACCATCCCTCCAGCGTCAGATTCAAACCATCCCTTCTCTCCAGACAATCAGCAAGTGGGAACAGTCCTTCCTTCGGAACATGCATTGGCTCCAGCTCCTCTCCGGTCCCAGGCCGCCTAGTCGGGGTCTGAAGGAGTCAGGCCTGCGTGGCCATCTCCTCCACGGTCTGGGGCCCTTCAGCTCCGCACACATCCCAACAGACCATCCTCCTCTCTAGTCACAGCTCCGCTGTCCAGGTGGAACAGAGCCAGCACAACCTCAGCTGTCACATCTTCCAGTTTCGGCCACTAGGAATAGAATGATCTGACACCCTCTCTTGTCCCAAGTACAAACCCAGCTCAGCACACACGCCCACTCCTGGACCCACTGCCGTGACCGAGGCATCGGTCACAGAAGGACCCCACAGCTCCCATGGGGCTGGAGGGTTGGGGGGGCGCAGTGTGTGGCGACGAGGTCAGGGAGAAAAGGAACCAGTCGCTGTTTTCCAGGAATGCCCCAGAGCAAGGCATTCACAGACAGCTGCCGTCTTCACCAACCCCAGGGCATTTTCCAATTCATTTCAAAGGAATTTCCATCTGATAACTACTTATAGGCTGGTTAGTAACTAATCCGATATTCTTCAAGTGACCAGGCAGAATAGCAGTAAGAAGCTGCGTTCTATATGTTTTCATAGGGCCTAAAACAATTATTTAGGTAGTAAAATGCTTTGGTGGTTACAATTAATTACTTTGTATCACAGTACATGTGCAGAAGCTGTGATCCGTAACATCTGCCATTCACAACCTCCCTTTCAGAGGGGAGGGTGCGTCAGCAGGGCGGCCTACGCACACTGGCAGCCAAAATGAACGGCAGTGGTCCAGGTGATGATAAATTTACGGACCTAGGCAATGACCAAAATGCTGCTACGGGAGACGGACGACGTCTGCTTCCCGACAGACGCATGCGCCACTGCCTCTGAGGCAGCTCGGGCAGCACCGTCAGCCCTGAGTCTGACCAGATCTCTAGGTCCAACAACCAATTTACAGGTATGACGGGCGAGAGGGCAGACTCAGTGGACACCATGGGAACCCAAGCGGTAAAAGCAGATCGTGGCAAACTGTTCAGGTCAAGTGACCCTGGTTCTTCAGCAAGAAAAAAAAAGGGAGTGACATGCAGCCTATTAAAATTAGATTAAAAGAGATGTAAGAGACGCATCAACCAACCACAATTCTGGACCAGATTTGGTTCCCAAATCAAATGAACACATCGTAAGAAAGGAAAAAATTCATAAGACCATACGGGAAATCTGAGCAGCGATGAGGTATGTGATGACAGGAAGAAATTATTATTAATTTTTAAGGTGTGATAATGACATTGTGGTCAAGTTTTTTTTTTATAAAAAAAATCTTTATCTTTTACTGAAGGATTTACAGACAGAACAATATGACATTTGTAATTCGCTTCCAAATAACCGGGAGCAGGGGAAAGAGGAGCCAGGAGGGAGATAAAACAAGCTTGGGGTAAGATGATAATTTTGAAGCTGGGGGATGAGGACATGGACGTCCACTACCCTATTTTTATGCTTGAAACTTTCTGTAATAAAAAGTCTTCCAAAAAAAGGAGCGATGCTCATCGCAGAAAATTTGGAAAACACAGAAAAGTAAAAAGAAAAAAGAATCCCTTAAACCTTACCATTCACAGAAGCTACAACAAACAGAAGTCTCGATTTTCCTGCAATTATTCAAGTAGCCCATATTTATTATAAAAGTGTTAGAAAGTCTGGGAAAAAAGAGGGAAGAACAGGTAAGGGGCTGTGTGTGGGTCTTTTTCTTTTTAGTTCACAAATAACATCTACTTTAAATTCCAAATTGGACGGTGTAAAGAACCACAATCACCCACACACCCCAGGAAGGCTGTCCACACGTCCCCCTGCATACCCACTGTCCGCCTCAGGAAACCGAGCCACATCAATGACAGGGCTTTTCCCCCACGGAAGCTGCAAATTTCATTTAGTCACTGATTTGTTCCCTCAACAAACACAACTCAGTGTGCGTGCTTACTGCCAGCCGGTTCCTGCGCTGTCTCCTGCTGGCCCTGCGTCCGGGAGCCGCGGGCCAGGAAAAGCGCCGTCTGCCCAGGGGACTCAGAACTGTGTGCACGTCCCTCCCCTCGGGAGCCACCGCTCGATTCGGGAGCACAGTGTGACCACATGCTGGTACAGCGAGATCACCTCTCAGTTGGGTCCCAAGGAATTGTTTTCCTACCGATAATTTAAAAATATTGCAGTTTTGGGAAGCTGTACCTGGAGGAACAAATGGGGGTAAATTCCAGTAAATCCCCTTAAGCACGTGCTTTCTGCAGTGGGAAAGAAAAAGGAGGAATGACAGTGGAGCTGTAAGGGAGTGTGAGGCACATACAAATGTCACTCACGGTGGATGTCACCTGTATGGGGGGGGGGGTGCACGCCACCACAAGGGGAAGAGGAAGCTCCGAGTCTCATGCAACTGCCACCCGCTAAACCCAAGCACGGTCAAGTCAACCACATTCCAGTACAACAAGAATTTAAAATTTACCATGAAGAAATTAGTAACTTCAAATATTAACGGCAAACCCATGTACCAAGCCGGAGAGGAAATAGAAGATAATTACTGCCATTCTTTGAAAGTAATGAATTTCTCCTTTTTGGAGAAAATGTACACATTCAACTTCCTTGCTCTGAATTCATTAGAATTTCTCAATTACTGGCAACGTGCTAGGCCAAAGAACCTCGACCTAACTCTTTAAAGGAAGTTTTCGACAGCCCTCTCCATATATGTGACTACTTAGGTTTAAGTTTTCTAAAATAAAAAGCAACGTAAAGCCACTCTTAAGGCTGCTAAACGTATCTGTCAACAGGCTTTGACAGTCTTCAGAAGCAAAGAGCCGTCCCCCAGGAAGGCAGATGCGGACGTGCACTCAAAGCTTCTCCTTTTGCACGTCTGTTCTGCTATGCAAACTTCGCATCGTTGCCCACGTGGACAGGCTCAGAAGCGCAGCTGAAGTCAGTGGGTCCGACAGGCACCCTGGGGCAGAGCACCAGGCCAGGGGGCGGTGGAAGGTGAGACTGCCAGCTACACCACGGGGCACCGAGATGCGGCCGCTAACAAGGCAAGCTCCCCCGAGCGTCAAGTGAACACCAATGACGTTTTATAAACAACAGGCTTGGTACTGGCCCATTCAGCAGATGCTCTGAGGCCCCCGAGGACTGAGACTTCTGCCCCTGAGTTAGGGAAGACACCAGCACATTCAAGATTCAGAAAGCTAGGTCCTGGTTAGGAGATGCACGTATTTAAAGGCCAGGCAGGAACTCTGAGAACAAGACTGCTTCGTGGAGGCACTCAGAGAATCTGCACTATAATACAAAGGCACAAGAGCAAAGACAGGCCTCTAAGAGCCGCAGGGCAGGGAGGGGAAGGAGCTGTTGACCTGTTGCTTTCTCACAAGAGGAGTGACTGGCCCCAAAACGCATTTAATGGCCCAGAATGGAGAGAGCGGATGGGTGATGGAAAAGATAGAACAGAGTAATAACAACCAAGGGAGAGAACACCTTTGTTAATAAGCAAGTCCTGATTTTACTGAAATACGTACCTTTCCTGTTTGGAAAATCAAGATAAACTCTCCCTCTCACGCCCTAAGCAGGACTGAGTCACTGTTGATGTTGCGCTTAAAAATTATTCAATACAGTATTTACAAGCAAACATGCCAAGGCCCTAGAAAAGGAAGATGTTTACAGAAAGAGGCTTTGGGCCCTGGGAATTACCCCAGCAAAAATTCCCTGGACTCAGGGCACCTATAAAAGAGAGAGTAACTACACGGAGACAACTGTGGACCATGAGGCACACTGGAGAAAACCCAACACTAGCAAGGAGTTAAAAGCAATTACTACGTAGAAAAAGAAAGTGTCTAAAGAGGAAATGAGTAATTAAACAGGCTTTCTCCGGATCAAGAGATCTTGAGGAAGCAAGGATCTCCAAGGGCAGAGCAGATGGGGGAGAAATGTGTATGTGGACACCGGAAGAGACAGGAAAGGGAGCGACGACCGGAAGGAATACCGAGAAGTTGCTACAGCGCGTTGGGGCATCAGGGCCCTGCGGCCTGGGTCTGCCTTCTCCCTGCCCCGACCTCCACGCCCTGCAGCGGCCCCTTCCCGCCCAGGAACCCCAACTGGGCTCTGAGTGTCCCCCAAGCGCTGGGTGCCACTGCCCCATCCCAGGGTCCTTAACTGAGTTCTGAGTGTCCCCCAAGCGCTGGGTGCCACTGACCCATCCCAGGGATCCTAACTGAGCTCTGAGTGTCCCCCAGTGCTGGGTACCACTGCCCCATCCCAGGAGCAGGCCGGCTCCTGACCTGCGTCTTCAGACACACCGAGGAGAGGACACTTCCTGTCCTGTCCCCCTGCCCTCGGGATGGGAATGTCCCCTCCCCGCCCATCTCGCTGCCTGTTGAGACTTGGCCCTGCCTGCCTGCCTGCCTGCCTGCCTGCCTGCCGGGGGCTCAGGCCTTGGGTTGGGGGAGGGGACTGGCGCTGCCCAGGGGGACCCCACACCTCCCTGAGCGACACCGCCTGATGCAACTCTTCTCGGGAGGACTCGCGGGGGCCACCCCGGGGTCCCAGCCTGGCGGGGAGGATGGGGGTTGGGGGGAAGGCGACCCTGGGGTTCAGGTCTGGGTGGGGGCAAGGGCGACACTCAGGGTCCAGGCCAGGCAGGGGCAGCGCTCGGGGTGGCCCAGGCCGCCCAGGGGGGACGCCAGGGCGACCCGGGGCGCGGGCGGGAGGAGGGGCCAGGGCGACCCCCGGGTCCCGGGCCGGGCCGGGCGGGGCGGGGCCGCGGGCACTCACTGTTTGGGCAGCTGCAGGGCGGGTGCGCCGCGCCGCTGGAAGGCCCCGTCCACGAAGACGCCGTTCTTGCCGAGGCAGCGCAGGTAGAAGTGCGGTTCCTGGAAGCTGAGCTGCAGGTGGCGCCGCGAGATGAAACTCGACAGGCCCATGCTCAGGTCCACCGAGCCCTGCGACGAGTTGCGGCCGATGGTGACGCTCGGCTGCCGCATCAGGAACTCGAACTCGCGGCCCTCCAGGCGCGCCAGCGCGGGCGCGGGGCTCCGGCGCACCGACGCGGCCGCCGCGGCCACCAGGGCCTCGCCCGCCGCGCCCCCCGCCGCCGCGGCGCCCCCTGAGGAGGAGGAGGAGGCGGCGGCGGAGGAGGAGGAGGAGGAGGCGGCGGGCGGCGGCGGCGGCGGCGGCGGGGCTGCGCGGGCGGCGGCGGGGACGGCGCGGGCCCGGCGGGCGGCCGGGCGGCGGCGGCGGCGGCGCACAGCGCGGGGCCGCAGGGCGCCGAGCGCAGGGCCAGCAGGGCGCGGGCGCCGCTGTCCTCGCCGACTTCGGCCATGTTCGCGCAGCTCCGGGCGGCCTCCGGCGGCGGCGCGGCGCGGGGCGGGGCGGGGCGCGGCGGGCGGCGGGCGCGGCATCCCGGGCCGGATCGCGGCGCGGCGCGGAGCGGAGTGGGGCGGGGCCGCGCGCACCGCCCCGCCCCTCCGGAGCGCGTGGGGTTGGGGGGACGCGGGGCCGCACCCCCCCCTCGCTGACCCCCGGGCGACCCCCCACGCCCGCTGCCCTCTCGTCCTCCCTGGGGGGGCGGCTCGAGGCGTAACTGGCAAGTTTGGATCCTGGATCCCTGGAGAGACCCACACGTGTGACCTCACTGGTCTCCTGCGGGTGACTCGCTCCATCCCTCCACCCCCAAGGGCGATCGGACTTAAGCTCCAAATTAAGGGTTTTCGTACTTTCACTGGAGATCGAGTTTGTCTAAGCAAGCTCCAAATTAAGGGTTTTCATCCTTTCCGCTGGAGATCCAGTTTGTCTAAGGATGCTTGCGAACCCCTGTGTTCCTTGGTGTCATCCACTCCCTCAATAAATGGCTCGATCCAATATCCTGGGACCCGTGCTAGGCACCGGCCTGAGGAAGGCACGCAGCGCCTGCCCTTCAGACCCCCGGGAGGCCCCCCTGAGGGAGATCTTAGCTGAAAATGTGGAACTGGCCAGTTTGGGGATCGTGCAGATTCCTGGAGAACTTTAGGATCCTGGCCATGTAGTCTCCTTCAGCCACGTCCTCTTAAAGGGGCGGTAATGTTTCCGCGTTTGCGTTGCTTAATAATTGTGGAGCCTGAGAAAATAGACCTCGCTCCCTCCCTGATGGAGCTTGCAGTCTCATGGGAGATGCCCACGTGAGTCAAGAGCACATCTTAACACATAGGAAATGACCCCTGCGGGGAGTCCTGTGAGGCGCTGGTGGTGGTGAGCTGCGGGTGTGTAGGCAGACGTGGCCGGCCTAGGGTGGGAAGCTGGTCTGCTTGCCCACTGTCCAGCCTGGGGCTGCAACCAATATTGACCCAGTGATCACATCACAGAGTGAGTGTATAGGCACAAACACAGATAAGTGTTTCAGGGACAAGTAACTCATTTTTATGAGAAACTATAACAAGAGGACCTAGTTAAGGGAGGGAAGAAGACAGTAAAAAATGGGGTTAGGGGGTCGCTTCCCTAAAGAATGACACTTGAACTGAAATCCAAGGATGATTAGGGGAGGGGCTGGGAGTGTGGGGGAAGGTATTCCAGCCAAGGAACGGCCTGTGCTAAGGAAAGGGGCACGGTGCCTTCGATGGATTGACAGATGGTCACTGTGGGTGGAAGAGAGAGGGACCACTCAACTGAACCAGATTAGGCTAAAGAGGACAAGGGCCATGTCAGGTCATGTAAGGATCTGGGTGAATACCGGGAGCCATGGAAACCACTGAGGGGTTTTAGGCAGGAGGGCAGCATGCAGGCCCACATATTGGAGAGATCACTGGCAGCCATGTGGAGCCTGGATCAGAAAGGGGTCAGTGTCTGTGGGAGGCTAGTTAGGAAGCTATCGGACCAGGCAAGAGAGGTTGAAGGAGGGAGATGGGGAGAAGTTGGGGGAGTGAAGCAGTATTTATCTCCTACAAAGACCGTTACACACGCACGCACGAGTGGTGGGAATGTAAAATGGTGCAGCTGCTCTGTCAAACAGTATGGCGGCTCATCCAAAAACTAAATACTGACCGTATGATCCAGCAACTCCACTTCTGGGTATAAACCCAAAAGAATTGAAAGCAGGGTCTCAGAGATATTTGCACACCCATGTTCATAGCAGCGCTATTCACAATAGTCAAAAGGTGGAAGCACGCCAAAAGTCCAGCAATACTTTGTGTATACATCCAGCGGAATATGATTCAGCCTTAAAAAGGAAGGAAATTCTGACACCTGCCACAGCAAACGGATGAGCCTCGAGAACACTATGCCGAGTGGAATTAACCGGTCACAAAAAGACAAATACTGTATGAAGCCACTCGTTTGAGGGACCCAGAGTTCACAGAGACAGAAGGTAGAAGGGTGGTTGCCAGGGGTTGGGGGGAGGGGTGGAGAATGGGGAGTAAGTTTTAATGGGGACAGAGTTTCAGCTTGGGAAGGAAAAAGTTTTGGAGATGGACTGTGCTGATGGCTGCAAAGCAACGTGACTGTATTTAACTCTACTGAGCTGTACACTTAAAATGGTCAAGACGGCAAATTTTATGTGACACGTATTTTCCCACAATTTTTCTGAAAAGAGAGATTTACATACAATCTCCAAAGTTCTTTTCTACCGGTTCATCTGAGGTGACTTCTCAACTTTTTAATAAGTCTGTTTGATGACAAGAGGTACATGTGTGCTTCCAGGCCCCTCAGGCTTCACTTAATATTAAATGTAAAGCCTTAGATGACTAAATTTAAAGGCCTAGATGATTCTTTTCTTAAGGAGCAAGAACCCGTATGACAGTAATGCCAGGAGCGCACAGGGCTGACTCACGGTGACCTTGCCAAGCCTAGACACCCATTTAATCGTTTGCAGTTCCTTTCTCCTGCAACAGCAGGCGTTGGGTAGATCGACAGCTTCAACAGAGAGGGCAGGAAAAGGGCCAGTAAAAAGCCATTCAAGAAGCAAAATAAGAGAAACTGAACTCTTCTGTCATGCTCTCCAGGTCTAGAGGTTAGTGCTAAAGCTGTTTTTCAAAGCATTCACTCAAAAAAGGAACAATGAAAAGCTTGCAAGGGAGAATCTAGTCAACCTTTTGGAGCCCACGACATCCAGGCTCTCACCTTGATGGAACCTTCTGGAGCGGGTTGCAGAAACAAAAAGGAGCAGAACTAACTCCGAGGCACTAAGCCATTGACAAGAAAAAGTACACTGTCTTGGGAGGTGACAATTAAGGCGTGTTAAAAAGCAATGAAATATCTGGAGAAACAATACATTAAAAAAAAAAAGACAAAACACGTGAACAGATCTTTCCCCAAAGATATATGGATGACACACGAGCACATGAAAAGACGCTCAGCATCGTCAATTGTTAGGGAGCAAATTAAAACCACAATGGGCTATCACTACACACCTATTAAAATTGCTTAAAGAAAGTGGCAAACCAACTGTTGAGAATGTGGAGCGGCCGGAGCTCTCCTGCAGAGCTGGCAGAAGGCAAAATGGACCTGCCGTTTTGGAAAACAGTTTGGCAGTTTCTTATAAAGTTCAACAAACCGTGTGACCCACAATACCATCACTGGATTCTTACCCAAGTGAAATGAAAACTTGTGTGGACACACAAAGACCTGTACACGAATATTTATGGTGGATTTATTCGTAATTGCTAAAAACTGGAAACAACGTGACAACCCAAGTGTGCCTCAAGTGGGGAGTGAATAAACAAACTGTGGTATGACCATAAGATGGAATACTACGCATCAATGAACAGGAGCAAGGATGCATACACAGAACAACACGAATGATTCCCAAATGCACCGTGTATGCCTTCATTTGTAGGACATTGTGGAAAAGGCAAAACTATGGAGAGAGACACAGATGAGTGGTTGCCAGGAGCTGGAGGTCTGGGGAGAGGTTGACCACAAAATGACATGTGAGAATTTTGGAGAGGAGACGATGATTGTGGTGATGATTATATGACTCTATGTATTTGTCAAAAGCAACAGAACTGTGCACTAAAAAAGGTGAATTTTACTCTATGTCAATCGTACCTTAATTTAAAAATTAAAAAAAAAAAAACACTCAATAGAGATTGTGTTTATAGACCCAAAACAAGGATTAAGAGCTGTGCTGTCCAATTCGGAAGCCACTAGCCGCCACTGGCTATTGACATTTATACTCTAATGAAAGTGAAATAAAATTAAACCTTCTGTTTCTCGGTGACATGAGCCACATTTCAAGTGCTGGATCTGGAGGCCGGCGTGGCTCCCACGCTGAGCAGAGTAGATGAAGAACATGGCCATCGCTGCGGAAAGTTCTGCTGGACCATGCTGCTCTGAGGGCGCAGTGTGGCCGGGCTACCTCTGCCCTCTCCTCCCTTTTTCTCCCAGTCAGGGAATGGTGCCAAGCATCACATGCCAGGCACACAGTAGCTGTGCAACAGGACCCTCGAAGAAGCCACGGTGGGCTCATCCCTCTGGCTGGAACCCTCGATAACCCTGCAGGGTCCTCGCTTGGACTCTTGTTCCGGGGTGGACGCCTGCAAGGCAGAAGAATAGAGCCACCAGCACGAGACAGGATCCTTATGGAAGCCCCGTGTTCTAGTCTAGGCTGAGTCTGAAGGCAGGCGGATGGGGCTGAGGAAGAGAAGCCTGGGAATCTGAAAGCTGCTGGTCCACACTAGCATCTTCGAGGGCCTGGAGCTCAATCAGTATTTGGCGAATGAGTGGGGAACCCAGACCATTCTCTATCTTCTCATCATCCCCTTCCTTTTCCTGTCTGCTGAAGTCACTTCCTGCTGTTTCTGTATCCTTCTTGGGTCCTTCCTGCATCCCCGATACTGTTTCCTGCCTGTTCACCGAATCCTTAGGGTTTCACATCCTGCAGCAATGGGACCTCTGCTGGGGCTTCCCCTTACTGGGAAGGACTGAACTTTTGTACAAGGACTGAACCTTTTTGCAAGAGAGACAGAGAGACAGAGAGAGGCGCAGAATAATCTTCCATGGAAACGCTTCCTCACCCATTTGAGACCATAGCCTAAAAACCGGAGAGGCACAAACTCTGTGTCCTCAGCTCCCGCGGAGCAGGCTGACTGGTTTTTCTTTTACAGCCTACCCCCAGCCAGCTTGTCATTTAGAACTCATATATATTTCTTAAACACCAATTCAGGAAAAGATAAGTCTGACTTTGACACCACAGGAAACTTGTTGAAACCAAAGCATGGGTGAAAACTACTCTTGACAGAATACAGCGCTGTTGGCACTTAGAAGAATATAGACATGCTGTGTGTTACTCGTCTATTACTGTGTGACCAAAGGCTCCAAAACGTAGTGGCTTAGAGCGAAAAATGTGTATCA